GGGGGGGGGGGGGCGAGGGGGAGAGGAGGCAAAGAGGGGGAGGAGGGGATGACGACGAGAAGGAAGAACGAGGGAGGAGGATAAGAGGAATATCCGTGATGAGCAGGAATGAAAAACATGGCGACTGTCGACGATGGGGGAGGAAGGAGGGAGGGAGGGAACGACGAAACAGGAGAGAGAATCGAGAGGGCCAAATACCTCGTCAACGGAGGCTTCGGCCCGCAAAATGGAAGAGACGTGCCTATAGAACGGAGGCGGAACCACCCCGTCATAGGAGACCACTGGGGCGGGCCCGGCGGGCACCGCAGCGAGGACGAAGGGGCGACGAGGAGGACGAGGACGAGGACGAGGAAGACGAGGACGAGGATGACGAGGAGGACGAATGGGGCGACGAAGAGGACGAGGACGAGGACATCGAAAACCTGGATCGATTCCGGACGGCCCCGGTCCCGACCCGGCCTCCAGAGGCCGAGGAGTGAGAAAAAGCTGGCCGAACCTCGAGCGAGGGCGATGGAGATGAAGAAAATAAGGCGGCCCAGGGACACACAAATAAATAGACAGAAATCCCAGGATTCCCCTGTTCTTTCCCAGATTTTCTGGGTTTTCGTCTTCCTCACCACTTCCAATATTGTCCCATATTTTCCTAGGAGTTGCCGATTAACTGTGTCCTTGTGTTTTTTCCCTCATGAGAAGACGGTGACCATGATCGGGGGGGGTGGGCGAAAGGGTAGGATAGCAAGGGTAGGGTAGGGAATCAGCTCACGTGGGCGCTTTCCCTGGCGCCTCCTGGCGCCTCCGGGCGGCATGGACCATGACCAACATCGGTATCGACAAGATCCCGCGACATCCTGGTCATGGTCACGTGTTTCGGCGACGAGCCGGGGGAGAAATGAGAGGGGGCGGGCCTTCTCAGAAGGCTCGGAAATCGCCCGGCCTTCTCAGAAGTTTACGATGCCTGCCCCGAAGACACTGACCCGCGATCGCATCACCCAGGCAGCAGTCTCACGCCATAACCCTCGGTGAGGGCATCCAAGGAGGAGGAGGAGGAGGAGGAGGAGGAGGAGGAGGAGGAGCAGGTGCAGCAGGAGTAGCGGAGGCGGTGGAGTTACTACTAATGTAACCCTCGCTGAGGGCAGCCTTCCAGTAAAGAGACCCTCGGTGAGGGCAGTCTTGCAGCACAGACCCTCGGTGAGGGCACCGACTCAGCAATTCCGCACATTATTTCTCTCGTCATCCTCATCCTCATCCTCATCATCATCATCATCATCATCATCATCATCATCATCATCATCATCATCAACATCAACATCATCATCATCATCATCATCATCATCATCATCATCATCATCATCATCATCATCATCATCATCATCATCATCATCATCATCATCATCATCATCATCATCATCATCATCATCATCATCATCATCATCATCATCATCATCATCATCATCATCATCATCATCATCATCATCATCATCATCGTCACCACCATCACCACCATTATCGCCATTACCATCACCATCATCATCACCACCACCACCATCATCATCATCATCATCAGCATCATCATCAGCATCATCCTCATCATCGTCATCATCATGAGCATCATCATCACCATCATCATCATAATCATGAACATCATGAACATCAGCATCATCATCATCATCATCATCATCATCAGTATCAGTATCATCATCATCATCGTCATCATCATCATCATCATCATCCTGATCACCATCAGCATCCTCATCATCAGCATCATACATCATAATCATCGTCATCGTCATCAGCATCGTCATCATCATCATCATCGTCATCGTCATCATTATCATAATCTTCATCATCGTCGTCATCGTCATCGTTATCGTCATCGTCATCGTCATCATCGTCGTCATCATCAGCACCATCATCATCGCCATCACCATCACCATTATCATCATCACCATCGCCGTCACCATCACCATCACCATTACCATCACCATCACCACCACCATCATCATCATCATCACCATCATCATTATCATCACCACCACCAGTATCATCATCATCATCATAATCATCAGAATCATAAGAATCATCATAATCATCATCATCATCAGTATCATCCTCATCCTCCTCATCCTCCTCCTCCCTCTCCTCCTCAGCATCATCGTCAGCATCATCATAATTAGCATCATCACCATCATCAGCATCATCATCATCAGTATCATCATCTACATCAGTAACGTTATACTCAAGTACCCCCAGCGTTTGCCAGTTGGAGAGATGCCGAGCGAGACGATCACCGCGAGTGAGTCGACATCCTAGGCCTGAGAATCTAGGGGGGGTAAGGGTGCGGTGGAAGTGAAGGGGATTGGTGGGGGGCGGAAGCGCCAGCAAGACCCTCGATGAGGGCAGACATCGCAAGTTCAGCACCTGCAGGTTGGCAACCAGCGCTTTATTCAAGCAGCCTCAGCTTTGCCGGTTGGGGAGAGAGATGCCGAGCGAGACGACCGCCACGAGAGTCGACCGCCAGGCGCTCGGCGATGGCAGCAGGGTTTGTGAGGGGGGAGGTCGGGGGGTTTTCGTTGGAGGTGCTGGGTGAGGGCATCGCTGTGTTCGAGCGTGATTCTGGCACTGGCGTGCGAGAGCCGCTCTGACCCGACCGTGGGCACCCATCGCACACGAATAGACGAGGAATGCGGTGGTGGTGAAGTGGTTTAGATCCAGGAGGCGGTGAAGGAAGGTAGCACATCGCACTCAGTATGTTTATATACTCCCTCGGCGAGGGCATCTTAGAAATTGACTGCCGGCTGACCTCGGTGAGGATTAGAACTGCCCTCGGCGAGGGCCCTTGTCACAGGCGGGATCGGATTGTGGAGCTGGGCGAGGTGGGAGGGGACTACGTTGCCGACGCCCGCAGATAAAATATTCGATGCCCTCGCAGGCTTCTTTACTTTCCTGTGCCTCTTCGCACACCTTGCGCCGTTTAGTCTACATTGAGCTGACTACATTTGAGCCTCCTCCCCCCCGCCCTTCCTCGTTCCCTGCTTCCCTGCCTCCTCATAAGCGTCTTACCCCCTCCTCCTCCTCCTCCTTCCTCCTCTCTCCTCCTCCTCCTCGGCCTCCTCCTCCTCCTCCTCCTCCTCCTCCTCCTCCTCCTCCTCCTCCTCATCCTCTCCCTCGTCCTCCCCATCCTCCTCCACCTCGTGCTCCCCTTCCTCACCCTGCCGCTCCCTTCCCTCCTCCTCCTCCTCCTCCTCCCTTCCCCTCCTCCTCCCCTCCTCCTCCTCCTCCTCCTCCTCCTCCTCCTCCTCTGGTCTTCTTTCCTTCCTCCTTCTTCTCTCCTTCCTCCTCCTCCTCCTGGTGTTTTTTTCCTCCTCCTCCCTTCTCCCTCCCCTCCTCCTCCTGCTCTGTCCCTCCCCTCGTCTTCCCCTCCTCCTCCCCTCCCCCCTCCCCCCCCCATCCCCCTTCCCCCCTCCTCCTCCTCCTCCTCCTCTTCCTCCTCCTCCTCCTCCTCCTCCTCCTCCTCCTCCTCCTCTTCTTCTTAGAATTATCATCCTTCTTATTTGGGTTATTATGATTATTAGTCTATCATCAGTAGTCTTACTACGACTACTGATATTAATGAGTATTAGTGTTAGTTTTATTCGTGTGGCTACTACTTATAACCAATAATACTATTACGAGTGTTCGTTCTATGCTTCTTGTTATTCGTAGTATCAATATTAGCTGTAGCATTGTCACTATTATTATTCGTATACTTAGTAATCGTTTATTAATATTCGTGTTCCTCATATCCTAAGATGGGGTTAGTGTTATTACTTGGACGCCTCCAACTGCTCAATCCTCGTCTGCTCCTCCTCCTCCTCCTCATACCTAGGCTCGCGCATACCTAGACTTACTCATACACAGACTTACTCATGCTCAGACCCAATCTTATTAACTTGCTCATAATCAGACCTACTCATACTCAGACTGACCCATGCTGAGACTCACTCGTACCCAGACTTGCTCATACTCGGACCTTCGCATTGTCTGACTTATTGAACACACAGCAGATTGTGAGGATGTCTCAAGCGGGCGCTGGTTTCAGCACCCCTAAGGGGAACCGCCGAATGGTATTGCACGGTCCTGTTCGCGGCCGTTTTGTGGGGATGTCCCGAGCGGTTTGCCTGTTTTCTGTCCCAGCGTCCTTCGTTTGGAGAGCAGATTGTGAGGATGTCTCAGGCGGGGCGCGGGTTTCAGCACCCCTAAGGGGAGCCGCCGATGGGGTATTGCACGGTCCCGTTCGCGACAGTCGTGTGGGGATGTCTCAAGCGCTTTGCATGTTTTCTGTCCCAACATCCTTCGCTTGTAGGGGAAATTGCCAGGATGTCTCAGGCGGTGCGCTGGTTTCAGCGCCGCCGAGGGGTATTGCACGGTCCCGTTCGCGGCCGTCTTGCGGAGATGTCTCCAGCGGCTTGCCTGTTTTCTGTCCCAACATCCGTCGCTTGGAGAACAGATTGTGAGGATGTCTCAGGCGGGGCGCTGGTTTCAGCACCCCTAAAGGGAACCGCCGAGGGGTATTGCACGGTCCCGTTCGTGGCCGTATTGTGGGGATGTCTCAAGCGGTTTGCCAGTTTTCTGTCCCAACATCCTTCGCAGGTTGAGCAGATGGTGGGGATGTCTCAGGCGGGGCGCTGGCTTCAGCTACCTAAGGGGGGCCGCCAAAGGGTGTTGCACGGATCCGTTCGCTGCCATTTTGTGATGATATCTCAAGCAGTTTGCCTGATGTCTGTCCGAACATCCTTCGCTTGGAGAGCAGATTGTGAAGATGTCTCAGGCGGGGCGCTGGTTTCAGCACCCCTAAGGGGAGCCGCCAAATGGTATTGCACGGTCCCGTTCGCGGACGTTTTGCGGGGATGTCTCAAGCGGTTCGCCTGTTTTCTGTCTCGACATCCTTCGCCTGGAGAGCAGATTGCGAGGATGTCTCAGGCGGGGCGCTGGTTTCAGCACCCCTTGGGGGGCC